CCTAAATTCTTCTTTAGCTTATACTTTAAAGTAGTGCCAACCAGAACTAAACCTTTGATCCCTTCTAGGAAAATCAGGGATAACGTATTCTTTTACTTCTTCGGGTCTTTATCGCTTTCGCCTTAGACCCCATCCTCTTCCTAGTGCCAACCATTCTGTAACTATAGGATATAATTGACACCAACTCCTTCGAACGAACCGTAAATAGAGTACAACGAATCCTAATATAGGCTCTAAGTTTTAAGTGACACAACGCGGAAGTCATATAACAAAAGACACTCCTAAGGACACTTGAACCTGGAGTGTTCTGATACCAACTGTGATACCCTCGGATTTCCGAAAGCAGGTTGGCCAGGCCCACGGCCGAATACCCGAGGATATCAAAAACAAATCGGTAATAATTGAACACAGAATACAAATATGATAAATAAGAATAAATAAAATGCTGAAAAGAAACTAAAATGACAATCCAATAATAAATCCTCAGAATAAATTATTATTAAATAATAACTTATTCCAATACAACCAATCCTCCAAACTAATACAACTCGGGAATCCATACTATATGGACCCCTAGAAAATCACAACTGAACAAGTGACAGCAATAATTGTCTACAATAGGGCACTGACACATAAAGGAAACTCCTACGTAGATAATCTGGAAGAGTAAAGTAGACTGATCACTGCTCAGCACGAACAACCTCTACTCCTGACGAACACCTGAAAAATAATGGTGTGTCAGGCTCACAAACAAGTTCTACTCTACTACAGTCCAAGCAGAGATCCGATACACGTATACATCCTAGTCAATCTAACAATAACTAATAGTCCGTATATACATCTATAGATACACACTAAGGGTTACCGTTGGAATATAGGGCGACCTCAACCTAAATAGTAGGCAACATGCAAAATGCACACGTAGTGGACATGAGTACCTAAACTTATCAGGGCACATAACAAACCACTATATCCAACGAGACTTCCCAAGGCAATATATGTTCCCTAACCATAGATGCTGAGACTCAAGCTCATATCACGGCATCATAATCATATATATAAAATCCATCCACAACTATGATATGTCATTCAATAGTTCATCGACCTGACACGAATATAAGTCAGACTTAACATTGTAGTGAATCCATTCCCTTATACCAGAATAGGTAGGACTTAGCGTTTTGAGCTAATCCGTCCCTAATATGCCACCGCCTCATACCGGTGCATATAATCCACTAGATCCAATAATTGATAAAACAAAATAAAGTAATTCATTAATTAAAATCTAGAGAAGAGTATAATGAAAAATTAGATATTTAACTGAGCATATTATACTATAATATACAAAAGTAAACTTATAAACATCCATTTAACTTGCTAGCATGACGACACGCAATTAAATCATTCATAACCATTAACAACATGCAAATCTAATTTTAAATTGCGTGATGTTCAAGATCACAGCATAATAGCATAGATTAATCATTCTGGAATTTTAACATGTTTATGTAAATCATTTAAAACCCCCATGAAAGTTCATAATCATATTATAGACCTTGAAGACCCAAATATATATCAAAAATACACCTACTAGTGTATTCCCAACAAAGGAGCCAGCTCTAAACAAAAGAGAGCCAGCTCTCACTTCATAGAGCCAACTCTTAACAAAAAAAAGCCGGCTCTCTCTCTCCTAGAGAGCTGTCTACAAAAAACAAAAAGGAACCGACTCCATCCCTTTTGGAGCCGGCTCTATCCCTGTTTCCCATCATCTTCTTCACCTCCGACAATGTTAAATCTCTCTGTACTTCTCTGTTAAGGTTCCTAAGGGTCTGAACTATGTCCCAAATCATTCCAGAAAATTATATAAACCCAGTATGCATTATTAACAAAAATTAAAACACATAATCATGAAACAATTTATAAGAGAAATCAATTTCAATGAAAAACACATAATAAAGTTTAAACTTTGAATTAACATGCATACAAGACCAATTTTAATGTCTGATTAATCCTGGATTTGCCCTAAGCATGCGTAGAACACGAATCTAAGGAAAAGAGTAGGAGAAGAACTTGCCTTTAAAGTTTCGATTTGAAACATTTAACCGTCTTCTTCCTAGGTTTTCCGGCAACCTTGATTGCCGTCAAACCCTCTGTACTGCTCGATCCTAGTCCACGAGCAAACCTCCAACTTCCCTCCTTGGCTCGGTCCTTGATTCTTGGCCAAACCCTAGTTTCCTCTCTCTCTATTTTCCTCTCTTTCTCTCTGCCATTACTATGACGTGAATAGGGTTCTTGAAACCCTTTCACAAACTTATGCAATATATATATATAAGCTAATATTAACCCTAATCCTATATGTAGACTAAATCTGCCAACAAAAGGAAAAGAAAAAGGGAAAAATGAAAAAATATAACATAATATAAAGTGATAATACTAACTATACTAACGTAATATTCATATTTATCTAATATATAATTACATATACAATTATATGTACTAACTATAGTTATTAATATTAATTATTTATAATATTAATAAGTATAAAATCCTCATATGCATATATATCCATATATATATATATGTACAACCATTCATGAGTAAATATCCGTACCCATTAATCTCTTATCTAAGTAGTCATATCTGTACCCATTAATCTCCTATCCAAGTAGTCCATGTGACCTAATTAGTTGGTCCATTACTACTATCCATATCAATCCTTTTAAACTAAAAATAAAATAAAATAATCACTTAATTTACTAAATAAAATTACAATTAATTCACATCATTAAAGCATACAATTTAATTAAACAAATAATACAAATAACACATAGACAAATAGTCAATAAATCAAGTAAAACTTAAATTAATTAAACACATAAGCAATTAACCAAATAATCAATTAAACAATTAAAAGTGTAATTAAAACAAATAAATAAATACCGATACTATCCTTTTAAAATTAAGGGTATTACACATGCTTTGTATCAATGGGATCACATCTTCACATTGCAGCAAATAATCTCAAAGTAGCAACTCGCACATATAGCATGCTTTTAAGGATATTAGCATTTCAAATATACCTTCAACATGCATAAACATAACATTTTCATCAAGAACATATACATTACTTTAACTTCTAATAAACATCATTTAAAACAAATACGAGATGAAATCAAGTAGGAAAAACTCAAATAGAGGTAAAATGTAATGCGTTAAACACCCATACCTCAAAATGCAGCTAAAAGGCATCCCTGGCTGGAAAGTCAACACTGATCAACGCCGGTCAAATGGAAAACTGTTCCGTGGGATTGTAGCCGATGCTGAGGAGAGCAAACTGTCCCAAAGGCACAACTCCAGAATCCAGCACGAAATTGCTCAAAACCCTTTCCGAAGTCTTAAATCTAAAACTTTCAAAAAATTTTAAAATATTCATCGTTCAACAAAAAATTAAACCCTTGAACTATGTGGTAGATAATGTTAAGGGGAACACTTTCCGTCAAGGAACCGAGCTTGGAAACTAACTCGATCGGCCGAAAACTGGAAGAAAAGCTTGAGGCTTAAGAAGAAAAGAAAAGAAGAGGGAGGGAGAGTTGTTGCAAAGGAAAGGAATAGAATGAAAAGAAAAGAGGGTTTTGAACCTTTTGACATTAGTTGTCCACGTGGGGTCCACGTGATCCCAAAATATCTCATTTTTCATTATATGCATATACACATATACACACATGCCACAAACACACTTCTTGGTATGTAATCACTCAAACATGCACAAAATAAATTTGAAGTGCAATGATATCGAAAAATAATTCCATGCACGACAAAACCGGTTGCGGGTTCTGTCCGAGACTTCCCGGCCCGAAAAACAAAAAAATGTCAAAATGATCAACAATGCATTTCTAAGAGTCCCGAACTCGAAGAAATGCCCTAACCAATTCTCAGAACTCACCGGCACACCCCACAGTGTCTAGAATGCAAAACGAGGCAAAAACGAAATAATTCTAAAAAATAAAAAAATTCCCAAAAAGAAAAAATAGAAAAAATCCGAAACATTACATACAAGTTCTCCCCTTACTTACCCAAATAAATAAATATAAAAATTCACCCCTTTATCTGTTCTTTTTCTTTGTGCCTTGTTTGAGTTTTAATTATTATATAAAACAGAGATGAGGAAGTTTTGTATAGAGAGAGAGAGAGAGTACAGTACTGATGGACAGTCCCTGTTCAAAGATAAGATTGCTTGTTTTAGTATGTATAAACATTTAAAAAGACGACCAAAAAAAAAAAAAATGAAGAAGAAGAAGAAGAAGAAGAAGAAGAAGGAATTGAACGGGAAAATAAAAGGAACTGAAAAATTAAAAAAATAAAAATAAAAATAAAAAATAAAAGAAGAAGAAGAAGAAGAAGAAGAAGAAGAAAAGGAAATAATACATTCATCCTTATAAATTTTTTTGAATAATGTGAAACTTTATGTATAAAGAGTCTCTCAAAATTTTGCAAACCTCAGGGCCGCCCTGCATTTGACAAAAGAAAATCATTCAAAGTATATAAAAAATTCTACTGCCATACCATACAAAATTTTAGATGTTTTGTTTGAGAATACCAAATTGGTGCTTTAGAGTTGGAACTAAAAAATTTTAGTTCAAAGTTTTAACTAAATTTATTTCAATTCCAAATCTAAACCGCCGATTCGGTTCTCCCAAACATAGCAGTATTGTTTTCAAAATTCAAGTTCACATGAGGCTTTAGAGTTGGAACTAAAAATTTTAGTTCAAAGTTTTAACTAAATTTATTTCAATTCCAAATCTAAACCGCCGATTCGGTTCTCCCAAACATAGCAGTACTGTATTGTTTTCAAAATTCAAGTTCACATGAGGCAGTTCACCCTAACCTCCATGGGTATGCCCATTATCCCACATTTGTGAAAAAAAAAAATTTATCCTACATTTCTCTTTAATTCATAATATTACAAACTCAATGGAGTCAATCTTTAGAATAGCAAGAAAGGTCCAGCAAACATGAAAGGCCTTTAAAATTCTATGAACACCACAAAAACAAAGTTTTACATCAAATCGGCTATAACCACAGCTCCAAAACACGAAAACCAGCCAACGTGGAAGAAACAAGACATGTAGCTGCTACTCTTATAAAATTCTGAATCCAAGCTATTTCACTATTGTTTATGAAATTACTCTTCTAATTGACAATTTAAATAAGGAAGTTAAGCTACAAACCAACTACAAAAAAAAAATACAATAGTGAAAAATAATTCAAATACATGAAGCAAAGATGACAAGAAATTACAGAAAAACTATTTATTTGAGAAGTGATCGAATTAACCGGCGTGTCTTAGAATTGTATTTGGTCCTATGCACCTGCAAAAAAAAGAAATGAATTAACTTTTGAAAATTTAAATTTTATGTTAGAAGAACTAAGGTTGTTGAACATAAGGAATATGAATATTAGGTTGAATAACAAGGGAATCTTTTTTGCAACATAATTTTCATAATAATTGATTTTAAAATCAACAATATAAACAATGTTCTCACCAAGTAATTGTCAAGATTTTCAAATGGATGCAAATCATATAGCTGAACATATTTAGTCATCAACAGTCACGTTTGCTTCATTATATACGAATTCAGTAGTCCTCACTCCTCCTTAACTAATTATTATACATGAAAAACTAGTTTTGTTTCTACCATAGCAGAGAAATGCAGCAGAATTTTTTTTTTTTTTTTTTTCCCCCCGGTAAGTAATGCACACAGATAAAGCATCTCAATTAACTATAAATGTGGGGGTCATACCTCCTTATGATTGAACTGCAATTGTAATTCTTCTTCCTTGATGTGTTCCCAAAAGATTGTCCATGTTGACACGCAACTTGGTTACAACATCACTGATATCCAATCTTTCAGCTGGTGATTCTGTTGAACATGCAATGCCAATTCTAAATATCGAAGCCAAACACTCCTCAATCTTGTAGGTACTAACATGGCCCAGATGGCTAGTGTTGTTGGTGCTCATCTCCCCCTCTTCTCCTTTCTGAAGAAGTACTGAATCCCCAATATTGACTACTCTCTCTGGCAAAGCCATCTTAGCATAGTTATGAAGGTTCATATTATTATTGAACATTTCATCAGTTGGCCTTTTTCCTGTAAACATCTCCAACAAGAGGATTCCATAGCTGTACACATCACCAGATCTTGACACCTCACTTCCCATACCGTACTCTACACTCCACACAACCCAGTGTAGAAACAAATGTAAAGGAGTTAGTTCAATTATATATCTCATGGTAAAAGCATATAACACAATATATCGTTAAAAGTCAATATGAATTGTTTCAGATGCACAATGATTAAACACAATAACTGTGGTGAGCTAAGCTTTCAAAGCCCAAGTTTAAATGGGGCAAAATTTTGTCAAGAACACAATTTTCTATATGCAATGCTGAGCAAACAATTCATCTAATTAAGGAAACGCCTAGTCTTGTAATAAGATGGTGCTTATGATCTATCAGTCTAATTTGTGGCCATAAAAACAATTTTTTTGCTGTTACTGTCTCAAGTTTGAGTGGTAACTCTAATCAACTTGACACCATTAATAATCACAGAAGGTATGGTACTCCTAAACAATACCAGCTAGTTTTGTTCAAGTGTGGTACTTTCCTTTTCTTTTTTGGCCCCATCTTTTTGTACAGTAAGATAAAAAATGCATGATGGGGGCAAAAATTGATAAAAATGTTAGTTGGCAACGGAATTTTTTTGCATGAAAATGGAGCAACATATGTACTTATAGTATTTTTTTCTATGTATTTGCTATTTGAGAACAATGAAAATGTAAATCAATTAAAGTAATGAAAAGAGAAACAAAATAGGAAGCGTAATTACCTGGAGGCGTATAACCAATAGATCCTCTGATTCCAACAGAACTGGCTTGATTTCCGCTATCGTTATGGTTAACATCAAGAAGGAATCTTGATATCCCAAAGTCACCTACATGTGCAGTCAAGTTGTCATCCAGAAGAACATTGCTTGGCTTCAAATCGCAATGAACTATTGGAGTTTGGCAATGATGGTGAAGATAATCCAACGCACAAGCAACATCAACGGCAATATGTAATCTCTGAACAATACTTAAATTTTTTGGCACCTCACATTGCCCTCCAATTGGATGCAACCACTCATCTAGACTCCCATTGACCATGAACTCATAAACAAGAGCCTTGAAATCATTGCTTTGGTAATCAACACTTGAACATGCACTGAGTATTTTCACAAGATTTCGATGCCTGATGTTTCTCAAAGCCTCACATTCAGTGATGAAACTCCTGGAAGCTCCTTGGTGCAAAAGGTACAGTACCTTCACAGCAATCTTCTTCCCATCCTGATCATGAATTCTTCCTTCATATACCGCCCCAAAGCTACCAACTCCTATCAAATTTGATTCATTAAACCCATTGGTAGCTCTATGGAGAATTTGGTACGATACTCTTAAAACGAACCTTCCTGAATCTCCTATGGAAGGGTTTTCTCGTTTCTTTCTACCCCAAAAAACACATAAAGCACACAACACCAAAGTCACTACTAACACTCCCGAAGCTATGCCAATTACTATTTTGAAAGAAAGAGTTAAACCCCTCTTCTTAGGATTCACGAGGTTGCATCTGGGCAAGTCTAATTCAGGTATACCCCCACAAAGTTTACTATTTCCCATGATTGAAATTGCGCTTGCTTTCCCAAACACACCCTTTATTGGTACCATGCCATCAAAATCATTATAAGATAGATTCAATTTCAGCAACGTTTGAAAGTCCTTGAAATATTCTGGAATTTTTCCTGTCAAATTGTTGCGAGAAAGATCCAGTTCTTGAATACCTTGAAGGTTGCTTAAAGATGTGGGGATGCTTCCTTGGAAGAGGTTAGTCTCCATATGTAAAATCTCTAAGCTTATACAACTACCAATTGTGCTTGGAATTTCACCTGACAACATGTTCTCAGAAACATCTAATTCACCTAGATTTTTCATGTTTCCAATTTCAATGGGTAGGGAACCAGTGAAATGATTATGAGATAGATCAAGATAGATTGACAAGGACGAGAGATTGAAAACATGAAGGGGAATGGTACCACTAAGTTTGTTTTTAGAAACATTCAGTAACAACAAATTTTGGCATTTTACAAGACTTGAAGGGACATTTCCTTGAAGATTATTTCTTTCCACACTGAACTCGGTTAATGCACTTAAATTTCCTAGAGAAGATGGAATATGTCCAGAGAAATTGTTTGCATTCAAATACAATCTATTCAGTTTCTGAAGCTTTCCAATCTCAGTGGGAATGTTACCTGTGAACTGGTTGCCCCACATATTTAGCCAATTCAAGTTGATGAGATTGCCAATTGCAGTAGCCGGGATGCTTCCAAATATATGATTGTCAGCTAAAATCAAAACTTCAAGCTTAGTTGCCAACAGATTTGGGAAGCATTCCTCCAAAATTATTCTGGTCTATAAATAACCACCTTAAATCGGTAACATTGGTCAAAGAGGAGATAAAGCTCAAGTCGCCAACTCCTCCACTTCCAAGATGATTCTGACCGGTCATTACAGACCAAAGCTTATGTAGCCTTTCCATGGTAGGCACTTTTCCGTTAAGATTGTTTGCACCTATTTGCAACGTTTCAAGATTAGTTGCATTGGAGATTGAAAGAGGAATGGATCCAGTAATCTGGTTCATTGTAAGGCCGAAGAATCGAAGACTTGGAAGAGTGATGCCAATGTCGGAGGGAAGTCTGCCTCTGATTTGGTTATTCATCACTTCAAAAATTATGAGTGATGAGAGATTGAATATTGAGGGAGGAATGATACCAGACAGCATATTGACCCCCAGTGAAATCGTTGTTAGTTTTTTTAGTTGGCCAAGAGCGTCAGGAACACTTCCACTAAGATTATTTTCGGATGCATAAAATTCCTCAAGAGACGATAAGTTCATAAAAGAATGAGGAATATTTCCAATTAGGTTGTTACGCCTAATATTCATTAACTTGAGCTTTGACAAGGAGCCAAGTTCCTTAGGAATTTCCCCTACCAGTTTGTTACGTTGGAAAATCAACCCAAGGAGGTTAGTGCAAGCAGATAAGTTGATAGGAATGTTGCCGCTTATTGAGTTATTGTGGAGGCCTAAATGTTGCAGTCTCCGTAGGCGGCCAACTTCTGGAGGGATTTCTTTTTCAAAACTATTGTTTTGGAGATTTACTACTCTCAAAAAGCTGAGATTCCCAATGTGTGGTGATATGGACCCAAACAAATTCTGGGAACTTAGGTCCAACATGGTGACCCTTTTGTGTCGACGACCACACGTAACACCATGCCACTGACAGAAATGAATCGAACCATTCCATGAACTCATAACCTTAAGAGGATCATTGGTTATTTTGGCCTTAAATGCTAACAATGCAAGTTGATCTGTCTCATTCCCTCCTAGTCTGGAGGTGGCTGCAGTGATAGGAAAGCTTGCATGCATCAAGCACAAGCAACATGCAACTATAGCATAGATGAAAATATTGTAAAGTGACCTTGATATGCTTAAGCTCGTGCCAGCTGAAAGCCCCATCTGAGTTCAGTGAAATTTGTTGTGATCTGAACGATGTGGATATTGTAGTCCAGATCCTGCAGTGTCAAAAAAAAAAAAAAAAAAAAAAAAGAGGTATTACATCCTAGAATATGTAATCTAAAAGTGGGTGATCTTGAAGTATGGTTAGCATTAAGAACAATTAACTGTCGCACTTTGTCAAAGATTGTACCTGTGGGCTGGATTTGAGCTTGAGGAACTTGAAGTATTGGTCAAAATTTCCTTCCTTGAAATATGAAAAAGAAAGATCACTTAGTGATTTGCCCAAGGATTTCAATCCGGCAAACTTGACATATATACTGTTTTTTTCTGCAACTTTTGCCATATTGTGATGTAGATATTAAAGGTACTTTGAATTGTGTGGTTCTAAGTGCATTTAAACCATAATTTTGCCAAAAAGTCTAATAGTGTATCATGGTTCAGAAGGCATTGACTCAAAAGGATTGCGCAAGTTGTTGAAAAAATGTCACAAATTAATTTTATTATATCGAATTTTTGGTCAATACAACTTATCTGTTAGTTCACTTTCAATTCCTCCTTTACATCCAAATATTTAATATATTTAATTACTTTCTGCTTTCTATCTCTGCCTAGTTTTTTAAAATTATATCTAAGAAAATTCAAATTCAAAATTTTAAAAATTTCAAAGTTGGGTAAAGGACCACAACACTTCACCATGTATAAAATTTCAAAGCATAAGGATATGAAAATTGAAAAGAGGCTGATCATGACATCCACATAATTTCAACCCAGAAAAGACAAACCCAAAAAATAAAAAATAAAAATTTTTTTGACTGATTCTCACATTTAGGCAAGTGTGATGAATGCTATTGACAAAATGAATTAGGATATTTGACAAAATAAAAGCCAGAGAAAAAAAAAAAAAAAAACCCAATTCTCTGCAAACCCAAGAATTTTAACCAGATAAATAATCAACAAATCTGAAGAAAAAAAAAAAATCATAGATTAAAGCAAGCTTATAGCCTAAAACTAGAATCAAACGAACAATTAACAAACACAAAAAAAACACATGCACAGATAAACATTATACAAGTTCTCTGAAGAAACTAGGTTCGATTAACTTTATAATAATATATGTGCATATAGAAACTCTTGTTTTTTCCCCCTCTCATAATTGATGTTAATCCAAACAAATAATGATTAACTTGTCATTATACAACCTCATCATCAAAGACGAAAGAGCAAATAAAAAAGTGGTAACCAACAGAGATTTAGTTAAATCGGCTCACCATGTTAGCTTGAAATGAGAGAGAGAATATGACCTTGCCATCTTCCATACGATCAGATCTTCAGTTTCAAGCCATTTGATGAAAAGTTGTGGGGGTAAAAAGACTTTACACACATGAATGGAATGGGGTGGGGGTGGAATGTCCATTCTAATCGTATTAAATTTAAACGAGAATGATCATGTCATTGGAAAGAAAATTAAAATCCATTCCATTTCAAAAAATATATATTCTTTAATAAGCCAATATATTCTTTAATGAGCCAATATCTTTGATGGCAAGATTATCATTATTGGCACATGATGATGTCATCGACATAAACTAACACAACTGTGATGGTCGTGTGACATTTAGTAATTTTTTATTTATTCAGTATTTTTTGAATTTCCATATTATTTTATTTTCGTGCTTCGTTTTGCATGTCACGCACCAGTTAACATATCAGGAAGATTCCGAGAATGATTTGAAACATTTCTTTGAGTTTAGAACTCTTATAAATGTATTTTAGGTTCATTTTACCATTATACTGTTTTTCGGACCGGGAGGTCCCATGTGGATCCCACACCCGAATTTTTTGTACGCGGATAGTCTTTTCGAGTCCACGTGCATTTCATATTCATTACTTGATGTATATTTATGTGGTTATATCTTTAAATGTGTATTTATGGCATGTTGCAGTGTATATAAGCAAAGAGAGGCATTTTAGACATTTGGTAGATCAAGCTAGAACCCACCCTTGACTAAGGCATTATACAAAGGCCACTCATTCAGAATTTTTGGCCCATTTCTTCTGCCCTAGCTGGTGGGCCTTCTCTCTTTCTCTAAAATCTTTTCCTTCTCTCTCTAAAACCTACACCTTCAAGACTAGATTTCATCTCTTTCTTCTAGGATTTGGTCTTCGCCATAGAAGGTAAAGTTGTGGAGCTCAACAAGAGCTTCAATTTGCTTGGAGCAGATCTTCATTTGGCTAGCATTGGATTTTCGAAAATTGGAGGGTTTCTAAAGCCTACATCCTTTAATTTTTGTGAGTTATTCTTTTACATTTGTGTTATAGCATGTATAAATTGTAATTTTGAAGCATGACATTGATGTCTTATGTGATGAAATGTGTTGAATTATATGCTTCTGTGAGCTATTGTGACTATATATGTTTAATTGGTATTGTTGACCTTAAGGATTCCATCTAAGGACAATCTAGAGATTTTGATGATAACAAACCATTAATGGTGTTTAAGGACTAATGTTTATATTGAGTATTATATAGATTATTCACATTCAAAAAATGACCTCAATGAAGCACTAAAAATCATTCCAAGTATTCCATTATTCAAGATCGCATCAAGGAAAACAATAGATATAAAGAAGACTTGAAGTTGCAAAGAACAAAATGCAAAGTTCATCCAAAGATAACTTGGACATCAATGATCAAGAAAACAACTCAAAAAAAAGAAAGAAAGTAAGGAAGCAAGAATACCTCGACACATATACGATCATGGGCAAAACATGAAGAAATGGGTAGATAGAATGGTAAGTGTTTAGGATTCAATGTCAAAGTATTTATGAATCCATTTAAAACTCATCTCTACAGGATCATGCATATCATTATCATTCATGAGTTCATATATCCATTAGCAATAGACTATGTACTTCATTCATATATATAATTGACGTATGGAGTCTTTGCTACAGAATGAGTTAGTTCAAGCTTGTATAAGCTTCGAAAGAACTCGACACTTGAGCTAGAATGCTAGAACCATGCACATTAATTACATGATTCACTTTGGTCACTAGAAAGTAAAGGTTAAGGCTTAGAACTTATATATTCATTTATAAAGCCTTTGTTACCATGCCTTGGTAAAGGATATTAAGACCTTAGTATGCACTTGATGAAACACTGTGTTTTTGGCTAAATATGAAAAATGGCTAAGTGTAAAAAATGGATTTTTGAAATAATGATTATTTCAAAATAATTTTTTTCAGTAATTACTCCCTACACTTCATATAGCCAAATTTGATTTTATGAGATTTTTTCATCAATTCTATATTGATCTACATAAGGATTCATTTCTACCAAAACTGTCGAAAATCCAAATTTGTACTAAAATTGAATTTCTACATTTTGATTTAGTTGAATTTTAATTTTTCTATATTTTTTTATTGAATCCAAATAGGAGGTACTTCATTTTTTACATTGTAAACTTAAAGTAAAACTTAAATGTTTTCAATGGAAATAAGGTGTGTGCAGAAGTACTATAGAAAATCTGTCCAGTTTAACTGTCTAAAACATTGTCAACAAAATCTGATGTCCATGTAACCGGAAACACTATCAACAAAATCCGATGTCTATGTAATCGGTTAGGAAGATCCTTCTAACCGAGTAGCTGAATGGGCAGAATAAACCATCCTTGAAATACTATTTGTAACCGGTTAGGAAAGTCCTTGTAACCGAGTTGCTGCATTGAGACAGAAAAAAGTCACTTCAAAATGCATTTGTTGTAACCGGTTAGGAACATCCTTGTAACCGGTTAGATGAGATCTTAATCTCATCTACTCGAGTAATTTAAGCCTTGTAACCGGTTAGATGTATGGGCAGAAGCTTTCCAAGGGCTATTTTGACCATTTGACCTCATGGGAACTTACCAAAATGTCCCCCAAATGACTATATTCTTCCAAGGGCCTATAAATACACGTATGGACATTGTGGGAAAATGAAGAGATAGTGCATTTAAGAGAAATCATCGAGCATCAACGAGCTAACACTTGAGAGACCTTATTAGGCATTAAAAAGCTTTTGTTCTTCATCTTCTCTTCATCTCTCATTCATATCATTCATATATAAAACTTGAGAGATTTAATTAAGGATTCAAAGTCGAATCTTTAAAGAGCTTTTGGTATATTATACACTTGAGAGACTCTATTGAGTTCATAAGAGTTTTTGTTCTTCACTTATATCTTCTTCTCTTATTTATATTATACATAGAGTTTGAGTTTTAATTATATTCATCAATAGTCTAGTTGTGAGCTGAAATTTGTACATCTATCTTTAAGAGATATTTCTTGTACTTGTTACTATATATTGTAAGGGTTGGTTTGACCCACCAGGTTGGTGTGACCCAAAGGAAGACTAAAGGAAGGTTGTTCTCTTAGCAAGGTGAAGCAAGGAGTTACTTCATGTAAAGGTTTACTCTCCACCCGTAAGGAGAAGCCTTAGTGTATTGGGAAGTCTCAAGAGGAGTCTTGAGCCGAGGAATAGGAGTTTCTGAACCTCGCTAAAATTACCGAGTCATTATTTGCAATTTCTCATCTCTTATTTCTTTTATGATTGTGCTATAAATTGTTTACTTTCATATCTTAATTATTGCATAGTTGATTAGAAATTGTATTTCTATAAATTGTGAAAATTGGCCATTAACCCTATTCACCCCCCATCTAGGGTCAATACTTGGGTAACAGGTATTATTACATGATTTTCATGTTTAAATGCCATGATTGATATGTTGATTGCATGAGAATTGTTGTGTTAATTTACTCCCAAAGCATGCAAGTATGATTGTGGTTTAATGCATGAATTTCATGTTGGCATGATGTAAAAATCCTAGAACATTCATGCATTGGCATTGTGGGAGAAAAAGGGGAAAGTTGTTTTCTTGGAAAAAAGGCATTGATTTTTTTTTTTTTTTTTTTATTAATTGGGGGTTTTCAAAATGAAAGTTTGCGAAAACTGGACGATAAGGA